ACGGAATTCATTGAAATTAAATATTGAGAAAACAGTGTTCATGCCTATAAATGATATGAGGAAACTAATCTCAAGAAAACAATGTGTAAAAAACAATAACGTACAAAGGTTTCCAATATTTTAACGAGCTTCCAAGTGAAATAAAAGACAGTGCAACCCTAGCGATATTCAAGCGAAAACTGAGAATCACATGAGAGTAGACGCATCTATTATTTCCGTTCCCGTCACACACATCATGTAGGGAAACCGTGTAGGGAACACTAATCATTTGTATATATCATTTATAATCATTCTTACTTTCCGCTTGCGTATATATCTATTCTTCGCTTACTAACATCCAGCATTCTCGAGGCTGGACCTGCACTAACACTGATTGTATTCCGATGTAGGATAATATATTTTTCTTTTGTAATTTGTAAAACAAAATCTCACTTTCATTTGTTCCGCCTGATATTTTTCCTAAATTCCTAACGGTCGATTCTGGCTCGAACCCGCCTTTTTGGCACGTTCTGAAGAACCGTATCGTGAGAATAAGGTTACAATATATATATACATTATGTTGCATTATATAATGATTATGTTATTTGCATCAAAATGTTTGACTGAAATTAAAATTCTTTCTTTTATCAGCTGTCTCATTCTTTTACTTCTACCTAAAATGGAGTGGTAACCGGAAAGTTGCGCATTGATAGAAACCGAGCGTGTCGCGTTTATTGTTTTCGCAACCTAGAGCGCTGACACTGTTCGTCAAGCGACAGAGAAGAGGCGCAAAATTGCTCCTTGGCACTCAAACGGTTAATAGGTAGACAGTGATTACATGCTCTCGGGCTATAGTACAGCCGCGTAGTAGAATCAAAAATAGGGAAAAAGACAGGGTCGAAATAATGCAGGTAGAAGAGCGAAGTCATACACGACGAACAGATAAACTAAAGAATTTTTTTTTAAATTACAATTTCCCTCATATGACGATTGTAGTCACTTAGATCTTAGAGTGAACTACGGTTAGGAACGGTAAAAGAATACTTATGTTACAGTAATAATAAAACGTTCTTTCGGGTTAACTTTTCCTACTTATTATGATTCGAGTATCTATTCAACATCTGTGGAGTCTATCAATCACTCTATGAAACGTCAGGAATGGCTAATTATTCTCTGGATCTTTCGATTTTGCTTGCGAGTTACAGTGGCCACCTGGTGGCGCGACAGCGAACTAGTGCTCGCTCGTATACCCCTGTATTGTTTAGGAACTCCTGTTATACAATGCACTCATTAATTCACTTGTAATATGATTTTCAGTTCTTAAATGAAATATTAATATACCGAGTATATAAATTAAATATCGAGTATATAAATTTTCGTTTACATTTTTTAAATTTCCTATACGAACTAGTAAGTTGACCATTCATTGTATATTACTTTCTGGTTCATATACCATGTTCGCGAATTTAATACACTTTGGGATATTAAACTCCCTCAGAGTTTTAAGATACGTTGATACGTTTTTTTTCAAATCCAGTGATTGGAATCTAAAGAACCTGACCGACACTTTTAAAATACACGTAAATATTAGATTCCAATTCGCATATAGAATTTGCGAAACTTTATATTTATTTTCATGCACAATTACTTTAGTGGTCGAATAATATACACGTATTTTAATGTTCAAACTATGATTTCATACATTTCGTATAATATTCTCGAATTTACGACAAAAGTATATTAATATAAATTTCATATACCTACCTATGTCGTAAATTCCATGGAATTTGAATAGTAAATTTACCAACTGTATGGTCAAAAGTCCTTCATTGCGAAGTTCCTTTGTAGTTTCGTATGAATAGTTCGTGTTGATGGTTATGATTCTCTTTCTTTGAATTAAGAACACATGGATTGAGCCATGAAATAAGGTTGATGTTTATTAGCTCATATGGGAAAAGCCTGGTGGCATAAAAACCCACGTCTTTACAAGTTTGACAATTTTCCGCGTGTTAAATTAAAACGTATAACGCGTGCTTGTCTCGCACTATCGTAATCGCACGCATATTATGTTCGGTTGTGTCGTTCTTATGCTAGAAAGGATCTTGAGCTGTTGCCATCTTTCGATAAAAATGATCGACTATTAAGGATCCGAGAATCTAGAGCCGGTGCCGTTCTCGCGATCTCATTAACAACGTATGATTTTCGTCAACTTTGCTAAGTTGGCTGCGTATACATTTGAGGCGCGTCACGTGGTCTCAGTATCTCCCTATGTCCCTCGGCGACCACTAGCACCACCGTCACCACCGTCACAATTATCACTTTCACTAACTCTTTCATCACCACACGATTCCGCGATACTACCTCTTGATTACGGTGGTCGCCTTTTATATCTGACCAACGACGACAAAAAAAAACAATGTAGACGACGTTGGTGATGATAATAACGACGCCCATGACGCTTATCATAATACACTGACATGTAAAGTACGGTATGGCAGTACCAGTAACAGCACTACCAAAATACATTTTTTCAATCACCATACACCAACATTTTTAACATTGTAACGTGTGAGTATGCCAGTTAATCTAAGTGCTTCTAGTATGTATGGGTATGTGTATGTGTGAGGATACGCCCCTCTCCGAATACACCTATTAGAAGTCGTTCGATCCCCACCTCATCAAATAGAAATAATACCGGTCAAACAAATTGTCGTCCCTTTCACCAAAGAACCAGCGAGCGAGTAAGACGTGTCTCTGAACAATACACTAGTACGCTCTGGGTGATAGGGCCCTAATAGACATATCATCATTGGCGTTAGACATATTCCGTCAAATATTCGAGGATCGGGGATCGGACACGGCAACCAATCAAACAGACCACACCGTAGGAACAAAAATTCAACTACAAGTCAGTACATATCATCTCCGTCGAAATCATCGCTTAAATAAATAATGGGTAGATATTGTGACGTGAATTTTCGACAATCCACGCCACAAACGACCTGCAAGACATGGCACAAAAACCCACGTCTTTACAAGTTTGACAATTTTCCGCGTGTTAAATTAAAACGTACAACGCGTGTTTGTCTCGCATTATCGTAGTCGCACTCATATTATGTTCGGTTGTGTCGTTCTTATGCTAGAAAGGATCTTGAGCTGTTGCCATCTTTCGATAAAAATGATCGACTATTAAGGATCCGAGAATCTAGAGCCGGTGCCGTTCTCGCGATCTCATTAACAACGTATGATTTTCGTCAACTTTGCTAAGTTGGCTGCGTATACATTTGAGGCGCGTCACGTGGTCTCAGTATCTCCCTATGTCCCTCGGCGACCACTAGCACCACCGTCACCACCGTCACAAATAACAACGTATGACTTTCGTCAACTTCGCTAAGTTGGCTGCGTATACATTTGAGGCGCATCGCGTGGTCTCAGTATCTCCCTTTGTCGCTCGAATTATCGATTGTTAAGGATCAGAGAATCTAGAGCCGGTGCCGTTCTCGCGATCTCATTAACAACGTATGATTTTCGTCAACTTTGCTAAGTTGGCTGCGTATACATTTGAGGCGCGTCACGTGGTCTCAGTATCTCCCTATGTCCCTCGGCGACCACTAGCACCACCGTCACCACCGTCACAATTATCACTTTCACTAACTCTTTCATCACCACACGATTCCGCGATACTACCTCTTGATTACGGTGGTCGCCTTTTATATCTGACCAACGACACCATTATCACTTTCACTAACACTTTCATCACTACACGATTCCGCGATACTACCCCTTGATTACGGTGGTCGCCTTTTAAATCTGACCAACGACGACAAAAAAAAAACAATGTAGACAACGTTGGTGATGATAATAACGACGCCCATGACGCCCTTATCATAATACACTGACATGTAAAGTACTGTATGGTAGTACCATTAACAGCGCTCCCAAAATACATTTTTTCAATCACCATACATACGTGAAATTGAAAAAATTATCTGAGAAAAAAATGCAAAAATACGTATCCCCTTTTTTCTTCACTGGAATGAGTATGCAAATTTTCAGACCTTTGCGAGTTACGATGTGAAAGTTACAGGGTGTTAGTCGATTTTTGATTCTGGATTTTTAAAAGATGTGGAGGATACATAGGTGGAGGTATACGAGAGGTATAGGTATAGAGTAGATAATAGTATAGGAGAGGTATAGGAAGAGAATGGGCAAAGGTATACGAAAATTATGGGAAAGGTATACATGGAACTTATGCGTACGACTTATGCCTAGCTGTAATTGAAAAAATTTATTAAAGAGAGGAAGGGTGTTATAAAGAATTAAACCTGAAATTTTGTTAAAACATTTATTGTATAAATTTATTAAAAAGTATAATTTAATTAATGTAATTTGATGACCCATTGTGCTAACGCAAAGTAAATAATGAATTTAGGTTTATGTTTACAATGTGTTAACGCATTATAGAAATGTACAAAAGTCTTAAACCGGTAAGTAATGACAATATATTAACTTAGTTTAGTCAAGTTAATAATAATTAAAAATAAATAATAATAATCGCTGTTATGTTATGGAATAGGTTATTGGTTATAATAATTATCATTTAGAACTTCCAGTATCTTCATTCATTGGATTGAACAAGACTGTGGCTTTGAAAAAGTGATAGCGAATAAAATATACATCATATGTTTTACCATATTATGTAT